GCTGTTCATCCTTTACTTTTTAACCAAATCTTGATGTCGTTCAGACATCTGGCAAAATTGTCTCCCACCGTCATCCCGCCGTCTTTTGAACAGGTTTTTGCTCGGTGGGATGTCGAAGAAATGAGCTGTCAGTTATGTTTTATGAGAAAAAAGCAGCGTGAATACAAAAGCTGACTCTTGTAAGATTTACAAGCGGCTCCACGGGCAGGACAAGGTGAAATAATTCTCAAGGTCTCTTTTAAGCCTACAATCTAACTTGGTAGTCTTTTTTTTTTTAAGTGTCACAATTCATTAATAGTCCGTTGATACTATAATATTAATATGCCGTTTTATCTCTCTGCTATCTCTCCTGTCAATCGTTTAGCAGGAGACGATCATATCCGGACGGAGGAAATTATAAGGTGCTGCTCTTTGGCTGGTGGAAATTGTTAATTTTAGGGCAGTAATGAGAAGTTACAGTTTGAGCAGTATGACTGACGTCCCTATTGCTGCTTCAGATTTTATCAACATCAGCTGTCAAGCCTACATGCTAAACGGTTTTATCACGCATTCAGATTTCACAATCGATGGGCTAAATTAATCCTTTTTTTATTTAAAGTTCTGGAACTTTTTGTCTCATGTTTACTTCTGTCATTTCTTCCATCACCGCATTGAAGTCTTTGACTGTTTTGTACTTTGATGCTTTGCTTTTCTTCTTCTTCTGTTTTCTTTTCCTGGTCTGTACTGTCAGTGTTGTTATTGTTGACGCCTAAACGCCAAACTGATGCCTTTAGAAGTGATGTGTGCTAAGGGGAAGGGAAGGTTATCTTGAATTCTTTCTTTTGGGCAAAGATGACGCGATAGAAATGTGTGTTTTGAGATTGAAAATATTTAAATGTTTGTTTCGGTGCAAAAAATAAAGAAAGCATTAGCAGTATGTTTTCATGAAAGTGGCAGGGGGTTTGCATAAAGTCTTGCGACTGCAATTTGAACCACAGAGAACAATTTGGGGCTTTTATTTTGGTGAAAATCGAGCACCATTGGCCTCCTCTTTGGTTAGCCTTGAGGCAAAACTGTTCCCATCTGTTTGGCTCTCTGTTATCTTTGCCTCAAGCTTATTGGAAGGTATCAACGCTCTTTTCTGCACACGCACACACACACACACCCGAGCACACACGTTCATTCAAACTGTCCACCCCTCCCTTTTTTTTTTTTAGCACCATCTCCCTTTTCAATGCCTCTTCTTTTGTACTCTGCCAGTTTAGGTTGTTTGTGGCAATGGCACACTGTTGTGCTTTGTGATGAACCCACTTCAGGCGCAGCCGTGCCTCACAAGGGTGCTTCGACTTTCAATAGATATTGACAGGGCCTCTCTTTGAGTCTGTGAAGTCCCGGCCACTTACTGTATCTCCATTTTCTTCTTTCTCGGCACACATCCCCATCCTTGTATCTCCCTTCTTTTCATGTCCTCTTTGGATGTCGTCATTTTATTTTTCACTTTTCTCTCTGTGCTTTGATCCTATTTTTTTGTTTTTTAAGCAGTAGTCTCCTGGTGAGTTTTTGTGTTGTCAGACTGCACACAGGGGTCAACAACGATCCCTTCTCTAAAGTGTTTACAGCTCACGCAGTGCAATATTACAGATTCATTCACCTCTATATCATGTTCTTCTTTTAAGTCATTGTTGAGGGATGTGGGATGACATTTTAAGGACTAGTTTCAATTCTAATGCAGTCATGCAAATTTTTTAAATTTGTCTTATAAACCTGTTGTGTTATCTAAACATAATCAAAGATTAAAGGCAGATAAAATGATGGCATCACTATTTTCATCATTCTCGCCATATCAAAGGGACAGTGCAGCAATTTAATGTGCTTTGTAAAGTTGTGGCCACTCCGGCCAACATATCCCAGCTGTGCGGTTAGCTTTAAAATAGAAGTTTAAAAATCTTTCATAGAGTTGGTAAGTGCAATTGGACATTTTGGGCAGTCAAGAAAAAACCCCTTTAAAAAGAATTAAAATTACTTCCCTGTTTACCAAAAGATTAATGAAGAATTTGACTCATATTCGCTGGGTTCATTTTGCATGGGCTTAAAATGTTGGTGCATGCTCTGCCCTTAACTGTGGATCAACTATGAGTGGGTTCAACACCTTTTAAGTCACTTTGAACTAGAGTTCAAAACACAGTTCCAGCTGCCTTCTCCTCGATGGCAAAGGCAGCAGGAATTCATGGGCACTGTGGTATTTCAAGTCACACCTAAACAAATAGACTGAACTGTAAAATTTGTGGAGTGTCCCTTTAAATGTAAGATCAATCCTTCTGGGAAGCCTTTATGAGATGAGAAGTTGACAGAAAGTTGAAAAAAGGTATAATTTAAAGCAGGAGAGGGATGGGTGCAGTGCAGTGTGTATAAAATGTGGGTTAAAGATGTAAAAATCAGCAGAAGAAACTTTAGCATAAGTAGTATTTGAAAGAACCACGAGGAGTGCTTGATGTTTCTTGTTGGACTTTTTGACTTTTGAAGCTGTTCCAGCTGTCAGGTAAACCTGGTGGTTCAACTATTCAAAGCGCTTTTTTTCTGATACTTTTTTTGTTCATCTGCTGCCGATGGCAGACGGGACTTTCAGGCCTGTGGGTGTTTTTAAAGATTTCCTGTACCTGTATGTTTTTTTTTTCTTTTTGTACATTGAATGTTGAAAATGTTATATCTTATATAGAATGCATTAAATCATATCAAACCTACTTTTTCTATACAATCAATAAATCTGCAGTTAAAAAGATACTGTGATGATGGTGTGTTTCATGTTTCTTTGAATATTTCCTCTTGATCTCAAACAGTCCAGTTGAACTTCTGCAGACTTTTTTTCCTCTTTTCTCTCCTGAGTGCTTCTTCTTCACCCTTCGTGGTTTTTACACCATTCTGCATTTATTCATTAGTTGTTCTCAGGCTCTATTCTTATACTCTGTTTGACCTGTCTTCCTCCACTCAGCCCCAAACAGTCACAGAAAATGACTGCCCCTCCCTGAGTTTTGCACTGCTGGAGGTTTCCTCCTGTTAAAAGGGAGTTTTCCCTTCCCACTGTCACTTCCCACATATATTGCTCATAATAATATAAATAAAACTGAATTAAATTCTGTCCCCTAGTTAAGTCGACAACACGAAAGCCTTTTCGTCCTCTTGTTGTTTTAGTTTACTGGTTCTTTATCGTTGTTGTTTTTTTTCCAGGAAGCTGCTTGTTTCCCATTGTCAGCAGAAAAGCTCTGCAGGGGCATCGGGCAGGTGTCCTCACAGACAGAAGCACAGTAAATGAGTCACTCGGAGTAAAAAGAAGCAATTCAAAACAGACAAGTTTAATGGGCATGAAAAAGGAGTTTTAATTTGAAGAATTTTTGCACATTTTCTCTGCACACCTGTATGGATTATCAAAAAAGGTATGCAGCATCACATCACATCAGTTCCCTTCATATCAGCCAGTAAATTGAAAGCTGCACTTGTAGGAATTCTTTCATATTTTGTGAAATACAAACACAGCGTCTTCTTATTAATGATATTTAGCTACAATGGATCAATGGCACTGATGCAGGCAGCAGCAGCCCGAGATTATTATGTAATGTCAAAGCGGTAAACACAGAGTTTTAAACTTGAAATCACTTTTGTTTTTTTCTATGAAATGTCCCTCATGATCAAAGTGAGAAATGATGACAAATTACAGAAGGTAGGCCTGCTGCCTATCAATGTTTCTGTTTAAAAAAAAAAAAGACAATATACTTCATGCTACATTTCATTCTGAAAACAGTAAATCATAATTTTCCACTTGGAGAGTGCAAATAATGTAGAAGGTTGTTTGTATAAAAGCTACACCTTTCTTGTGAAAAATGAGCAAAGCTGTGAGTTACAGATTGATGTTTTTTTTTCTGCTCTACAGTGTACATGTACAAATCACATTCTCCTAAATGAACCCCTGCTTTCAAATATTACACTTGTCTACAACTACTGTACAGTCATATGTCAGGCCATACTCTCATACATTATATTTCAATTAGCATGGAAATTGAACTACAATATTTATAGAACAGACACAAAGTTGTTTATTGCTCCGTTCTGCTGTTTCCTAGTCTAAATTGCATCACAGTGATGCATGCATTTTACTGCTGCATCAGCTGGTGACAGGTCAATTATCATTTCTTGTCATCCAATAATTACATTGGCTTTGTTCTGATGCTTGAAATACCTCCTTGGTCCTCCCCAAGGTCTGCAATAGCCCACTCATCTCTCTCTCTCTCAGAAAAACACCAATCATGATAGGAAGGCCACTACTCAAGGGTCGTTTAATTTACTTGTTCCTGTTAGATTTGTTTCATTAAAGATTCTTCTGTAGTAGTGCAGGTATTGGGAACAAGTGTTGGAGTGTTTGTTGTCCATTTAAAACAACATTACTGGAACCTAAATTTGTGTTTTTGAAGTTCTTATAATTCTCAGCTATTGTCCTGTCAGTGACAGCTTTAGTGTTGTTTGTTACACTGAAATGTTGGATTAGGTATCCTTGTCCTGTTGCCTAAGGTACAATGCTGTGCAAAAGTCTTGAGCCACATGTCATTCTTTATATTTTGTTTCAAAGTAGGCAGGCTTTATTGTAATTTTTCAAATTGGTCTGAGCAATAGTTCTCCAAACTTTGAGAGGCTTTGCAATTTTTTTTCTTTGGACCGTTTTGGACGGTCTTTGCTGTTTTGATTATTTTTGAAGGGCGGTCTTTTATTTAAAAAAAAAAAACCCTCAAGAGATTAACCAGTGTAAGAGAGATTAGATAAGAGACGATTTAGCAAATTTAAAATCATATGTTTAGGCACATGATACAAAAAATATCAAAGTTAACACAATCTGAGAGACAGAAAATAGCATTTTTGCACCAACAAGAAGCGAAGGTCCGAAAGAACTTCTAGCAGAAAACTTGTCATATTTTGACATTGTGTGCAGTGTGAACTTAAGGAATTTGAGGAACTGGACAAGTGGAGGAAACCGGTGGCTTAAGACATTTGCACAGTACTGTACAGTACATTAACATACTGCTTCTTTAAACAACATGTATTTTAAGAAATGTAGACCTCTGACAGTCTACCTACTGACAGAGAATCAGTTTTGCTGGGTGGGCGGCTGGTGAGGTTTACAGTTTCTGAGGCGGGAACAGGTGGCGAGGCGGTTTCCCTCCCAGTAACCAGCATCTTGGCCGTCGTGACAACGACACTTGGTGCAGGAGTCAACCCAGATGGGCTCTCCTGCAGGAATCACTTTACTGCGTGATCCATCAACATAGCAGTTAGGACCTTTGGGGAGAGGAGAAGAAGAGGTAATTGGAACTTAACAGATACTACACATAATCAGTCAAATGGATAGCATTGTGTAACTACACTCATCCCTATTTTAAACCAATTTTCAAAAACAAGACAAGACCACACTAGAGTGGGTCTAAATGACAACATTTGAAAACTGTGCTCAAATTATTAAAAAAAAAAAAGATAAATGTTCTCTCTGTGATGCTGTCTGTGAGTGTTTTTTTTAAACTTTCTACTTTTATTAAACTGTGTTTTTAACATACCCTCCTTGCATTCAGGGCAGCACTTCCCAGGCTGATAGACAGGGTTGACACATGGTGGAGGCGCACAATCTGCCACAAGACAGCGGGCAATGCCATCACTGTCACAAGTGCACTGCTCACATTCTGATGGCTGGAAAACACACACACCGACACAAACACACGCATACACTGAAACCCAGCAGGGATCATTTCCTAATCTCCTCGTGATGTAAATGCGGGTTAGTCACTGCTAGCAAGCACACGAATTATGTATAATGGTATCCTTTTTAAAGCGTGTACTAATCCTCGTACCAACTCAAAAGGGGGCGCCATTTACCTCCAATTTAATACTGCATAATCATTACATACAAACGGATATCTGGTTTAGGCTTTAGTATTCATCAAAGCTCATCCTCATTTGGTTCTGACACATGCAAGAGACAACGATTGGGAACAATGGCTGCACAAGTGGGCGGCATAAAACAGACCAGAAGACCCAAAGTTTAAACACCAACTGGTGCTCCCCTGTGTTACTAGAATATCTCTATGATATTCAGATTATTTAGATAATAATTACATTTTAGAGCTTCTATTAAGTGTTGTTATTATTAGTGTTCAAGTCATTCTTTCGAATAATGTATTCTTATAATGTTCTTGTACACTGTTATTGTTGTGATGTATTTACAGTACAGTACAGTTACTACAGCTTTGACGTCAAAAAGATTTACTTAAATAATACTATTGACATAAGCGCACTAAGGTGCTTCATTTTAGGATGACGATGCTGACATTTTCACTTGTAGGCCATTTTCTAAATAGTTGCAGCTACTTTGAGCACTATTCTTACAAAACTAAACTATTATCGATGGACGTCTCAACCAATGCACACCTGTAACCCTCTTACATTTTCTTCAAAGCCTGATGATTCACAAACGTATATCAAAGTAAATATAGAAAAAGTGTAAAAAAAAAAAAATTAGGCCTAAAAAGACAAATTTTTAGACCTTTCCAATAGGTTATGTTTATTTATGTGGCACTGACTTACCTGGAAGTTCTGTCCTAGCTCGTACACCACCCCTCGATACTCGCACCCAATTTTTTCACACCTGGGGCAGCAGTCGGTGGGGTAGTGGCTAACGTGGATACATGCAGCTGGGAGAGAGGTGCATTCAGTGCGGGCACACACGGAGCCCTCAGCGGTGCACTCACATTGAGTGCAGTGATCAGAGTCCAGGAAATACCATTCTCCCATGTAGTAAATGCTGCCATTGGCCTCGCAGGTGCTCTCCTGCTGTCCAGCGACCGAAAAGCCAAAACAAGCCTGCGCGCAAAGTACAAGTGCCAGAAGGACCGTGCGTATCCCGCGCGCTAAGGAAAGGCGCTCTCTCACAAGCTTTTCCATAATCTAGCTGATTAATCCAAATGAGTAAAAGTTCGTTAGTGAAGGGAAACTTGCACTATAGTCCTACTTGGGTTTAGTAGAGCGATCAGCCAAGATTTGAAAAAACAAACAAAACCTTTTCTTCGTTAGATTGTTAAAAACAAACCCCCCCAAATCCTGAACCTCTCCACAGCGGTCTGCCGGGTCTGCGCACACTTTTGCAAGGCAAGGAGTCCGGAAGGGAGTGGAGGCTGGGGAAAGTTTCACTGCTCTCATCAGAGTACATGCTTGCCCTTAACGTTACTAAGCTGAAACCTGTCCCTCCCTAGTTTAACACGCACGACTTCAGCCTCCTACAAGAGTTCTTCGTGGCCTTGTGCGATGCGTGAAGCCTACTGCGCCTTTAAATTTGCTCTTATTGTGCTGTTTAGTGTTGTATTTATTTTTATTTTACAATATACCAAGTTTACCTGGATTTAATGTCTTACATTTCGTCATCCCACCGTGTATTTTGTTTAATGCTTTATTTTAAATTAAACCAACTCTTAAGCCAATTTTAAATAAAACGAATTAAAGGATTTGGCATTTTTTTTGTAGCTGAAAGATAAACTTCTAGACCACTCGAACAGGTTGCTTGTTTGAATGCAGTCTCTGTGTTAACGGTTCAGACAAATCTCGCGATATCTCTCCCTAGCAACTCAATTGTTTTCCTTAGATACCATAGTCTCGCAAGCTCAAAGCGCACCAAACATCGAAAAGGTGAGCCTCTCTTCCTCTTTGGCTACAGTGTTTTTTAAAACACATTTGGTAAGTAGGTTTCACACAGCGTGTTTTGTATCGTTTAGTGTTAAACTTACATTACATCGGTTTAAACGAGCTCCTACTTTCTGCTCCTGTCAGTCATTTTCAGTAGTGCGGCTAAAGTTTATTAAGTCAGCAGGCCCGTTTGGTTTGAAACATGGCAGCTCCATTTACCAGGAAAGAAAATACTGTGTAGTACTGCTGACGTTAATTACATAACGATTTTTCTTTTCTTTTCTTTTTTGGTGTTATTTATGAAAATGAAAACAACAAGCAACAAAAGACTGCAAATATTTGGCCAGAAAGGTGTAGCCTGAAGTTTTAGCTTATTACCCAGTTTGATTCTTCTACTCCATTCCCCTCCTACTTATAAACTACTAGAAATTACTTAAATAGGAGCTTCTAACAAAGTGAAGTAGGCAAAAAGAGCGCAAAAAGCTGCACATCATGTCACGATCAGGGGTGTCCAACTCCAGTCCTCAAGAAACAGCTGAGAAACAAAGTCATTGACATCTATTACAAAGGAATTTCTAAGGCTTTGGAATTCACAGTGAGAGCATTATTCACAAATGAAGAAAACAATGATAAACCTTCCCAGAAGTGGCCCGTCTACTAAAATTACTCAAAGAGTCTGTCAGTAATTCAAACAAAAGAACCCAGAACAATATCTGGATAACCGCAGGCCTTATTTGCCTCAGTAAACGTCAGAGTTCATGATCCAACAGTAAGAAAACGACTGAGCAAAAATGCTGCTGATGTCTCATCTCACATTTGCAAAAAACACATCTTGATGATTCCCAAGTGTTTGAGGAAAATGTTCCGTGGACTGACGAGCCTTTTGGAAGGTTTAAGTCCTGTTACATCTGGCGTAAAACTAACACAGCATTTCATAAAGAGAGCGTCATACCAACAGCCAGACATGACGGTGGTAGTATCATGACTGCGGCTGCTTTGCTGCTTCAGGAGCTGGACGACTTGCTATAAATGATGGAACCATGAATTCTGCGTTCTACCAGAAAGTCCATGTTGACCATCAGTTTGTTATGCAGCAGGACAAAGTGTTGTAGTCAATACCTGGACCATATATATGTATAAATAAATTTATTATATACATTGGTTACTTGGAACATTTAAATATGGGGGGTATAAAAGAAATCAGGAAGGGGGCAAATACCTTTTCACACCAGTGTATGTTGTTATGTTCCACAATAATTTGTATTCTTCACTCTTAGATTGCCATTCACATGCAGTCACCTGATGAAAGCCAGGTCTGGGGCCCTGGTCAGTCCCTATGGGGCCTGATCGCTGAACATATTTCTGAGTCAGAGCTGCCAAAGATCTACACCGCACTGGGCCATTCCTTGGTAGATGTGTACACAGACATGCACACTGAGGTGAGAGAAGTTTTATAACTCCAGTGTTTGATGTCTTCTGTCTGCATACAGTACCACAACACCTGGTTTGTAAGTTGAAAGGTCCCTCTTCACAGTCAGCAGATTGTTTCATCATTCATATGGTTTTATTTCTTTGAGGAATTCACGCTGGGTCTGTTTCTAGCAGGATTTAACAAAAGTACTACCACAACTTCTGCAAGAATTTCCTTTTGGGCAGAAGCAAATCAAAACATTGCTCAGCTAAGCATTCCTAGCCAAACAATTTAATGACTCTGGTTTAAGGGTGTGTAAGTAGGTTAGTTTTGCTGCATATATTCATTACTTACAATTCCCAGACTCCATAATAAAAGTGAAATGTGGGTTAGCTGGCACGGCGCCACAATGAGATCCAAATGTGAGCCAGACAGACTTCAATATTTATTCCAGAGCAGCTAAACTCTCAGACCTACAGGGACTTGAAATGGCTCACAACTCATTAAACAAGCACATTTAAAATCAAGACTGAGGTGAAAATGTTCATTAAAAGAGGAAAAGTTTTGAGAAGAGTCAAAGTGAAACATGTCAGGGAAGAAACTGTGACTTCCTGATACTCATTAATAAAAAACTGTGAAGAACTGAGAAATGTAATTATATATTCATTCAAATTGAAATATCTTATTCCAGCTTTCATACTGTGGCTTGATGTGATACAACCACTGAACCAAAGCTGTGGTAAAACATATTTCTATTGTCTGTCCTTTTTTCTTTCTCAAATAATGAATTCTTAAAAAGCATTTTTTGCATCTGGCTCTGTGGGCATTTTTGCCTCAGACATGTAGGCCCCTGATTGGAGACAGCAGTGCACTCCGTGAGATGGATAAAACCTGTGACAAATCAACTCGTGGATCCATCCACTGTGGCGACGCTTGGGAAATAAGGGATCAGTCAAATGTACCTTCCAAAAAAAAGTGCAAAGTCAGGGCATCATATGTTTTCTTTTTCCATAAAAAGCAACCAAACACCTCAATAAAGAAAAATAAAGAACTGTAAAAGATCATTTCTAATGAATCTATGATCAGCTGACTAAAGAAATAAGTGAAAGCTGAAACACTCAAATGACAGACCTCAGACAGACAGTTGTGCTTCTGCACTTAAGATCAAGTTTGTAGGCTTTCTTTTCACCACCTTCTGAGGAACAGAAATTTCTCGTGCTTGGCTGTTTATTGTCTGGACTCCTCCAGTTTCTGAGGTGTAACTGAGCAAGACAGTGAAGCCAAACACCTTGCAGTGGCAGCATTTGGTGTGTGTTAATGAATGAATGAGAAACACTGCAAATGCTTTGTAGAGCCTCTGAGGTTAAAAGCCACTACTAAATGCAGACCATTCACTCTTTACCAGCTTCTTTCTTCTGCTTGTTTAGTACTAAAATCTTTCCATGTGTTGGTCAGCCCTCTTTTCCATGCCGTGCCCCAATGGTTCAGTCACTGCTCACACAAAAAAAAGAAAAGGAAACCACCTGGATGTGCTTTAACTCGGCTCTAGAGGCCTGCCATGTAGATTCTTACCACATATAATATTTGTAGCAGTTTCTATGTGAAATCCACACGACAACTGTACGGCATGCAGGTACTCCTTCTCACTACTGCAAAATAATTCAGCATATGCACAACCCCGCACACACTATATACACACAGAAAGAAGCTCAGTAAGCTGAGTCACTCAGGGGGTCGGTATAACAGGGTTAAAGAGGCTAATCCTCAACTGTTGATAAGACTGTTAGCTACATATAATTTGACTCGACTGTGTGTATGTGTGCGTCAGCTTTGATTGTGCGCCTGTACCCTTGCACGTGTATGTGTGTGTGACTTTGAGTATTGCTCTGACATTTCTTCATCTACAGTTCAGTGTGTCTGACTGTAAAGCCTCCAGGTGGAATAACAGACTTGAGGCTAAAAGCTCTGAGAATTATTCAGGAAAAATAGAGCAGAGAGGGCCTTATCTGACTGTCACACAAGTACATTCAGGTTTTGATTCAGTCTTTACATTTACTTTAGGATGGATCACTTTCATTTTTCTCTCCACGGCTCTCTGTATGTCTTTTCTTTCTCTTTTCTGTCTATGTTTCTCTTGCAGCCACATAATGACTTCCATTCCTCAGTGAGCCACTGTGAAAAGTAATAGCAGATCTGCAGGTGTCTCCTCCATTCCTCAGCGCTGCCATTCCTCTCTCCATCAAGGCCCTCATTGTCTAAGGCGGCAGGATCAGAGAAAATATTAGACTCTCCCTATAAGGCCCGATCTCTCCGTGAACTCTCACTTTCACTCTGTCTTTCTCTCTTTCATCCCCAAAGTTAAATATTTTCAAAAACCCAATTTAAGTAGTTCAGCAAAACTGAAACGTTTCACCGGTGTTCCCTTGAAATAGCATTTGGATGAGATTGGCTTACTGCTGAGGAAAAAGGGAAAAACATCCAGGAACAACTCATTAGCCAGTGAGCCATGAATCCTTTAATATAAACACCTCAACGCCTAAAGGCACATGGCGGAAGCTAGTGTGTTTGTATGTGTTCACCATGATAGGGTGTAAATGCTGGCGTTACGAGAGGATGTGCACACACACACATACACATGCAAAGACCAGAAGTGCTATGTTTAATATCCTTCTTTTGAAGTAAAGTCTTTGCATCATGACATAAATGATTGGCAAGCAACAGGTGTCGAGGTGCTAATGGGATCCAGACTTCACTGAGGCATGAGCATTCACACGCGCTACAAAGAATAAAAAGGTTCTTGGCCTCAAAATGAACAGAGGTGTTTGTCTAATTTTCAGCCCAAGACATATAGTAGCCAGTGTGGTGTGAAAGCATGCTAACGGTGTATGTCGTTTTCAGATTTATATCGATTTTTTTTTTCTCCTTTGTCCCTGTGGATGTAGAAGTTGTATTTCTTCCTGTTCCAAGAAGACTGTCAACTGTGCACAACAGTTTACAGTAAACAAGCTCTTCTTGCATCAGTGACAGCCAAGAAAATGTCTGCTCCTTGTAGTATTTAGTATTTGCACTGTCAGTGGAAATATTTATCTGTCCCTCAGTTTAACAGATTCTTTTTTCAGTGTAGAACTTCTGAGTCACTGTGAGGGAAACTACTTGTATCCTTACATTGAGTAAATACTAGTAGATTACCTTTAAAGTAACTAGCAGGATATTTTTTGTATTTGTTAACCACTGCTTTCAATCTTAATAGTTCTATGAATACAAACGCTATGCTGTCATTTTCATATGAAGCAGTATAGAATTATGGGTTACTCTTCTCACAGTTTATCTTTTTCACACATTGTTTTCATATTGCTGACCTGAAATAACTGTTATTTTTAAAATAATTGCCTTCCTGTCATCTTTAGGCAGGAAGCTTGCCAACAAAGTCAGTATCTGGAGCATACTCCATGTGGACTCAACTAATAACCAGCCCATTTACAAATCTGTGGATAAATTGTGTGTATGAATATTTCATGCTTAAATGTGATTTATCAGTATTATCCTACCTGAATTTGACCTAAGAGCAAATTAAGGTAATTTAAACACAAGTCTTTAAATTCACTACTGCCACTACAACAACTACTACTACTAATAATAATAATAATAACAATAATAGTAATAATAATAATAATAATAATAATAATAAAAATAATTACAATAGCTTTCATTAAAAATTAGGATTTTTCACTTGGATTTTTTTCCCTCCACATGTTTTTTTTTGGTGGTCTTTTTCATTTCAACTTTCATGTCCAACCTTTTTTGAATTCTGCCGCTTGTGAGCCTCTGTTATTTCAGTTTTCCCCTGCTTTCCAGCCTATTAGCTATGCAGGCTTCTGTCTTACATCATTGTCATCACTTTCTCTGCTTTAGGTGGGCGTGTTGCAGTATGCAGATTGTAAACAGATTGCACAAACCTGTTGTTTCCAAATGAAATTGATTTACTAACTTGTGCACAGTGGTAACAAAATAGGCCGATGGGCGTTTCATAATTCTCATGGTAATTTTCCCTGCACACTTGTATTTTGCACCAATTACATTTCCATGTAGATATGAGTAAATGTGGGACTTTTTAAACACTTGTCTCACTGTGGTACCTTTTGCAGGCAGAGATGTGGCACAAGATGTGGCAGGAGAACCAGCGAAGTGGAAAGCACGGCGGTTGGGCGGGGACCCCGCTCCCATGTCTGCAGAGTGCCCCTCTAGTTGACCCCCCTGCTGTGAAAGAGCTTTTGAGAGCTGAGGTCAAGATGTTACTACAGACTCTCGGAGAGAAAGCCAGCAGGGCAGGAAGGTAGGTGGAACATCTCACATACTCAGATCAACACTGCTGGACATGCTTAATGAACTAGTTATGGCGCTTTTATTCATCAGTCTCTGCTACAGCCTTGAAATGCACTTCAAAGTTTGGAGAATAACTTAATTTGTTATCTTGATAATGTTACCATCTATCCACTCTAACTAGAGCCTGTCCCATCTATCATATGGTGAGATGTGAGGGTACACCCTGGTCAGGTCACCAGTCTGTCCCAGGACTAAGTGACAATACATTGAACATTTTCTTAAGAAATTAAAAGCTTTATTAGTTTGTTTTTTTTATCCTGACTTTTTATGCCCATTTTATACATTTCTTTCTTTCCCCTGATCATTCATGTCTTTCCTTTATTCACCAGCTATTAGGTGGGCTGATCAGATGAGTTAAGACCATGGTCTCACACGTTTTACGTCATTTCTCCCTCCTGACAAAAAGTACCATAAAATGCTATTTTGTGCTCCCATGTCGGTTACAAATGGCATGGGAAAGCAGAAGGACAAAGGTTTTTGGAGACGGGAACTGGTGTGGGAATTGAGGAACAATAGGACAATTATAGGAGCGAGACACAGTGATAGATGACTGCAAACACTAGACTCGCACTCAGTGCAAGCTCTGTCGAATTGCAGATATGTTTTACTTTAAATGGGAGCCAAATACTCATCTTCAAAATCTTGTGAAAAGTTAGTATAGAATTGCAACAACTTTGAAGGAAAAGAAAGGCTGATTGAGATCCAGTGAAGGGCACTCAGGGAGACAGCTTTGAGACTTAGTACTCTATATCTGCTTTATATGTCATCAGGGAGTTATAAGCGTCTCAAGAAGTAGTAATAAAACTTCCTAATTCCTGTTTTTTCATCTTTTTTTAAAATGTTTTACAGCTAATCGTACAATGCAGGTCAGAGATAAGCTTGTAACAACTGGCAATTTAATGACATGCATTAAAATACTCTGGAGAATGTCATAAAACCATTGGCAGAGCAATATTGGTTACCAGCACGGCCCTGCATTCTCACATTAAGACATAATGCCTTTGTGAGGAGGTGTGTGTGAGAGACTGAGACTATGTATGTTTAAGGTAGCAACTACCCCAGCAACTTGCAGTTTGCAGCCAGGAATGCTGCCGCATGACTTCTCTGGTTTTGCTGAGGCCTTTTAGGACATAAGATGGATTGCACTCCGCTTTGTGGCTTACCATTTATTGCCTGTCAATTTGTGCAGGCTGTTGTAGGCTGGAGGCAGCTTTTTATTCTGTGGGTTTCTGTGGACCTTTAAAAAGTCGTGAAAAGCCAATAATCAGAAATTTAGGCTTTAAATTGGACTTGATGAAAGGATTAAGAAGTTTAAGAAGTTTACTTTAAATAAGTGATGTGGTAATTAAAAAAGAACCATAAAGACACCTTAAGAAAGACACCAGCAAAGGCCTGCCCTGTTTACAGTATAAGTATCACCAAAGTCCAACCTGATTGCCATCCAGTCTTCACTAACAGCGCAGACTGAGTGGCAATCAGGTTGTCCTTGTTTTTTTGTCTTTTTAAATGTAGTTATTTGCGTTTGGGCTATTTGTGGGTATAAATTACGGGTTGATCTAATATTGTTTGTTTGTTTGTTTTATTAATCATGTCTTTCAAATGGTAAAAATGCCATAAAGACTGACATTTCCCAAACCCAAAGAAATAAATGTTAGAAAAGTCCTTATTTTGTGTGTTTAGTAGTTAAAATTGCACCATGGAAATGTTTTATCACCTCTTTGCTGTCTATGTGTGATTGGCACACAGTTGACATACACAAGAAGTTGAATAATTTGCAGGTATTTGATTAGACGAATTAAACTCTGTATAAAGTCTACGCTATATGGGCAAAGTACTGGGCCACCTACACATCTAACCTACAGGAGCTTTTACAACCAGTTGTTAATCCAAAGGCATTAATATGGCTTTGGTCTCCCTGTTGCTGCTATAACACCTTCCACTCTTCTGAGAAGGTTTTCAATGAGATTTTGGAATGTGTCTGTTTTTGCCATTTATCCAGAAAAGTACTGTTCACCACAGCCTGGTTCAGTCTTGGTTCCAGTTCATCCTAAAGGTGCTTGCTAGGATTGAGGTCAGGGCTCTGTGCAGGCCAATCACGTTCTTCTACACAAAACTCATCCAACTATGGATGTTACTTTGTGCACTGGAGCATGCAGGGGCAGAAAATGGCCTTTCCCAAACTGTTAAAGCTGGAAGCATAGAATTGTCCAAGATGTCTGAAGCATTAAAAAGGGCCTCAGCGCAGCTCCAGAAAAACAACCCAATTAAAGATGTATTAAACCCACTCCTTCTCCACCAAACTTTACAGTCAGGCAGGTAAAGTTTTTTTTGGCATTACATGCTGCCTGATAGAAATGTGTGATTTCACCACTTCACAGAACACATTTCCACTGCTCTCAAGCTCAGTGGCCGCATCCTTCACACCACTCCATTTCAATGCTAACATTGTGCTTGGTAATGTAAAGCCTAGAAACCAGTGCCATGAGGCTTCCAGCACAGTTTGTGTACTGAAAGTTTGTGTGCTTCCAGCACATGTTAGATCCAGCACACTGTGCTGATGTTAGATCCAGAGGAGGTTCAGAGCTCTGCAGTTACAGAGTCAGCAGCGAGTTGGCGACTTTTACGCACTATGCACCTCAGGACTCAGCGACCCCGCTCTGCAACTTTACATGGTCATTCACTTCATGGGCGAGTTGCTGTGGCTCCTAAACGCTTCCACTTTGCTGTAATACCACTTACAGTTGATGGTGGAATATCTAGGAGGGAAGATATTTCACAAACTGACTAACTGTCGCAGCTGTGACATCCTATTACAGCACCATGCTCGAATTCATTCATCTATTAGTTGAGAAATATTTCAGTCTTGATCAAAGTTAACCAACAGACCAGCACTGCCCTCCACTGACTGGCTGTTTTTTTATTTTTTTATTTAAGACTTCTTTCTCCACAGTCTCCTACTGAATCTAGTTCGTGGATCAAAAAAAATATAAAATGTTACACTGGTGCGTGTTATGACAGCTCAGTTGACAGGGATTTATTTTGAAGCAATCTTAAAGGGATTTTTTTCTACAGATGGTAGCAAGGCCTGATGTTTAAGCTGACAATCCAATATCCATAAGGCTACAGGTCTGATGCCCAGAACAGCAGAGTGTCTTATTAACGTGTCACTGAGCAAGACACAAACTGAAGCCTCGCTCACTTGCAAAACACAAGTCACTCTTGTAAAGTGCTCTAGTTTGGATGTAAATGGATTATAAAAAGTACCATTCAGACCGAGAAACAAAGCCTGTTGTTATTGGCTGGGAGGGAATAGTGCCAAAAAAAGGCATTGGTGCCACACAGACTGTGCCAGTGCAAATCACCTTTTCTCTTTGAAGTTGGCTTCTGTGTAGTTGTTGACCTTGATGCATGGTACTGTGTGTGTGATCCAGGTCTTTGATCGTTCAATTAGGCTAAGTCCCAAGTGCATATCGGCTGAATGGCTTTCAGGAATAAGCCTAACACACTTCTCGCTGATACCACTTTCACTGTAGAGCTCGACAACCATCTGTTTAATTTAATATGCTCTGTTGGCGTTAAAATTGAGAATACATACATCAAGGTGTGGACCTCTCATACAAAGTATTTGTACCTTAAAAAAAAAAAGGTTTACTAGACGTTTACCTGACACGACTGGTTTCAGCAATAGTTGTTGATGCGGTCGGTGCTGCATTTTTCTGTGTTTGAGTCGTTTGTATGAGGCGGTGGGGGTGGGGGTGGGTGTGTGCCTTGTAAAGCTGACTGATTTATCTTGTAGGCTTCCTCCTGTGTGGTCCTGATGTTCCTACCATTCAGTCTCTTACACATACACAAACACACATAGATGCATATCGTTGCCAGATTCGCATAAAAACATGCATTTTCTATTGCGCAGTGACTGTGAAATTAAGCAGAATGGACCAGGCAGAGAGCTACCTCACCTGCAGCTGCCCCTGTGGTTTGGCTTTCTCCATGAGTGAAGAAGATTTAATGCTGCTGCTGTATAACTTTTCTGCTTTGAGATATACATGCTTTTTAAAGATAACTTGTGGACACGTTTTAAAATTTTAATTCAATAAGAAGAGACCATTTGGAATAGCAGAACATGATTTATTGATATACAGAATTCAGTTAAGCTATTTGGCAATTAGATTTCAAAAACCCATCGTAGCAGAACAGCGTCCCACCAGTGACAGGAAGTAGGGCAGGACCCCCTGGAGGGCGGTGATGGTGAAGATGAAGATGAAGGCTTGGATGGCGCCCTGAGTGACTCGGGTGCTGTGGAGATGGGGAAGAAGTGGGTTGCGTGAATGAAAGTCTGAAAGAGAGAATGACAGAAGAGCACTGAGGTTTAAATTAAACAGATTGGAAGCTGATTGGGTTGAAGCTGACAGGCAAGAAGATGATTGGACTAGAACAGTGATGTCAGCATTGAGTTTTGAGAGCCTGTGAAAGTGGGACTGATACAAAGAATAGACTGGCAGGCAAAAACCACCAGTGCAGATGAGTGCTTACAGATCTTTCTTACTGAACTTATGCTTATGCTTCATTATATTCTTAACACCAAACAGCACATTCTACCACAACTGAAACAGTGCAAAGCGCTTGGATACAGTTTCAACCTCTTTTAGGCAATGCAAAGGATTAAAGCACTGTGGAAAACTGCAGAAAAGCAAAAGCTCAATCTGTGGCTCTTTTGTATTAGAGATGTTGAGGAGCTCCTGCATCGGTACAAACCTGAGACTCTAAACTACGCCCTCGGCCACCGATACAGATGTCATACTAATTGCACCAACCCTGAAGATACTGACAGTGGAAGCAGGTTAGCAAGAGCCCAGGCTTGCTTAATTTACTGAGATTATGCAGAACTTGATAAAGTCTTGTAATCTTCTGTCTTCAATTCCAACCTGTCCCTCTTTAGGCCGGACTCCCGCTGCTCGGTCCAGTCCAGAACTGAAGATGAGATCGAAGCGGTGAGAGGAAAGCTTAATGTCACCGAGATAGACCAAGTGGTTGATCGACTCAGGTGAGTTTGAGCCATGTTAAGGATTTCAAAAGCCTTAAAAACATTTTTGTTAAGTATTTGAATCAACTTTGAACTGGGTCATTTGTACCAAAGGGAATATTATCATCTGAATGTACAGATCTGTACTACTTTCAGACTTTTATTTGTTAAGTTTTTAAATCCCTCAGCTTTTCTGTTTGTGGGTCATTTGAAGTGTTCACATGTGGTTGTTGTCTGAAGCTGCAGCAGTCTTCACCATACTTGGCACCAAATAGCAGATAGATAGTGATAGTCTGTTAAAGCTAAGAAGCTGAGGGCAAGGCAGCAAAACCTGAAACTTGAGGCTCGAAACAACGCTGTTGCTGGGTATCTGTGGTATGTGTAAGTAAGCAACATTGATGTCACACGTTCTCAAAGTTACAGAGCTAAAAGAAAAACAAAAGAACAGAAAATCTTTTAATGCTAGTGAAATGATTTTTTAAAAAGAGGCTCAGTGCTTGCTGTGAATCCACAAAGTCTGCCCTTCAGGGTCAAATGATTAGAATTTATTTACAAATCCGGCAGTATCGCCCTAATACATCCAGATTTTAATAAGCAAATACATTATCACACCTTCCTTTAAAGAACCTTTATTATTGTACTTAAAACACTTTCAGTGTTGTCATTCATTACTTTTTTGTATCAATACAACATATTGTTATTTGGATTGTGCTGTTCGGAGAAAGCACCGGTTGTATCGATCAGTCTTCTGTGAAATCAAACCAGTCTGTATGCTCTAGAGCATACAGACTGGTTTGATTTCACAATAAACAAACAGCTGTTTGTTTATTGTGACCCCTAAAATCTTTTTCCGTGCCTCCTTATATATGACCCTGTAGTGCACCATCTATACACACCCAACTTAGTGGAATAACGTAAGGGCATACATGCGGTCCAAACTGGGAAAGAGCACAGTTCACACTGGTACAATAGTTAAAGAATGAACTCTTGTCCTGGTTTTTGTAATACAGTCTAGCAGCGACACATCTTGCATATAATTTTTTTTGTGACTGACTCATTCATATTTGGTCTTTGTAACTCTGAAAGTCAGAGTTTCTCTGAGCCCTCTCATTTCCCCCTTAATTTCCCCCTCAGCCTTCCTCTGTGGCTTTTGTCATTGCCCTGCCTCCTTCACGCTCCATCCCTCCGTTTCTTCCTTCACCCCTCGCTCTGAGGCCCACGGGGCAAAGCAGTCGCTGGAGCTACCTTAGAAAAATGCCTCCCTCCCTCTCTCTCTTTCTCCCATTTCCTGCCTAGACCAGAACAAAAGGCCCCATTGTCAATAAATGGATCCCAGACCCGACCAGAGCCAGCAGAAGATTCTTTTTCATTTGAAAGAAGTGAATAAAATCTACTACGGTTATGTAACTGGAGAAGGGCAAAGATAGGGAGGGAAAAGAAAAATAGGACACTGTTTCCTCTCTACCGTATGAAAACTGCAGAGGATAAAGTCTGAGCAATGCACCTATTCTGTTGTCGCTGCCTGTGTTTTCCATCCTATTGAAACTGATATTTATCTGTCAGTCTGTCTGTCTATCCATCCATGCAGAGCTCTCCTAATAGGGGAATGTGAAGAACTGACCAGACTGGTGAAGCATATAAAGGTAAGAAGATCAGGATGGAACAGCCACCTATCAAATGAATGCTTACTCAACCTTTTTTTTTGTTAGTTGCCAGTGCAACACTGATGAAAATCCTACAGTTATTTACAGGTGACTGCACCAAAACAGCTGTGAATTTTACACATCAAAACAATCCATGAATTATGAGCATCGCGAAGGACTGTGAGGCCTGAATAATGTGTGCTTTATCAATATGTAGCATAATCTGTAGAGTAGGGTTTTTCTTCAGGTGTAATTTTTCCTCTTAATCCCCAAACTGAGAGTTTACCTTCATCCAAAGTTTCTTCAGCTACAGAGAAAGAATCTACATACAAAATAGCATTTTTAGCATTTAGCATTTTTCGAGCTTGAGTTGTTTGATGCATGTTCATCGTTTCCATTACACTGACTTCCTCGTGCGTCAGCATATTTTTAGCCTGAAAGACAAAAGATATGTTTTTCCCTCTTAGTTTCAGTCCCTTAGGCAGTCCTGCTAATTCTCTTTTTGGCGGTGAAGCCCAGCCAAGGCGAACATTTTCACAAATCAGCATGCATGCACGCTCACAAAAGCCTGCAAAGCCTCAGTCTGAACTTGTATTTTCCATTTTTCCAGCCAAGAGTAAGATCAATCTCCTCCCAATCAATCAAATGGCATATAAAGACATTTTCACACACACACACACTCGATCTAACTACATATGTACGTTATCACAGAAACAGAGTGAGTTTAGCCAGATGTAGGACTTCTCTGCTGCCCAGATGTTGAAGTTATCTCTCTGTACACTCTTTTTGTGTCTGACCATCTACAAGTGTTGCATTGCCAGGAGCTTCTCTCGGAAATATTAGAAACCTAAGCAAAGAACAGACACTCAAGTTCACTGCATGTTTTCAAGGACCCAGCAGTGGATGAAGTGTTGTTGTGCCTGAAGCGCAAACAGCTTCTTAAATTACTTAAACGTTCCTGTGAGGCGAAGATGCCATTAAAAAGATAAACAAAGCGGGAAAGGTACACAATATTGAAACCCTCATTGAGCTTTTTATTGTTGACAAAGTAAAACCCCGTGTAGGAGAGTGAAGATAAAGAGGAAACGTGACCCAAGCATGTGTTAGCTTTAAAAGCCTGACGGTGGGAAGTTAATTGTAACCACTTTTCTTTGTCTGTCTTAGATCTCATTTAAAAGAGATTGCAATCAGTGCCAGTAAGGAAATTGTTTCCTTAAGCAAGTGTCTGCTGTCTGCTGTGCGATTGGCATGAACTCACTGTGCATGTTCAGTCACAGATGTGGGGACCGTGTTGGCCTTACATTGTGCAAGTCATCATTACCTTATTAAGAGTGAGCGCTTCAGATCTTGGAACGACACTGGCCTCAGGATCTTCTGTGTGACTTGTTCGATTATTAACAATTCTACAATCTCACCACATCTGAGGCAGTCATAAAGGAATCGACAGTGAAGATTTAGAAGTAGTTCACAGACTTGTGTATATTTTTCTTTAAATCACCAATTTTCTTTCTGTGTGTTTTTCAAGGGGAATTCAGATTCTGCTCCAAATTGGAAGACGTTATGGAGAGGCAGAGCTAAGCAGGAAAACATTTGAATGTTCAAGTCAGAGTTTTAGATCATAATTGTTAACCTCTGTTTTGTTCCAAGGGCTGCTTTTAATTTCTACATTTTTGGGGGGGCTTTTTCTTGTTTACGTAATCAACCACATGTTCTAAATGCTACGCCTGTCAGCCAGTAAGCTTTTTACCACGCACAGCTGAGGTTTCTATTGATTTAGAGTTATTCAGTGCAGTTAAATTATATTGTTTTTAAAACAGCTATTAAACAAAGGCATATCAGGCATATCAGGGATGTTACAGTATGAGCTAATTGCTTTTTTAGTGCTGGATGTAGCGGCCAATCATAAAATGGTCCTAAACACAGTCATAATGACCCATTTTCTCTTAGCAGGAGGGAGAGATAGTGACTTGGACCAGCACCAAACAAACAACTCTTAATGACAGTAGATAGGAGGAACTCACACATGTATACACAAACCTCTACTGATCCTTGTTTGAGTGTACTGAGTATAAAACACTCGAGCTGTGGAAAATATGTAAAAAAAAACCTATCCTTACTCTAAAGTAAAGACCGCGCTGTCAGCACAGGTTTACACACAATTTTACATAATCTGTTAATAAGTGAACTTTTTCTTTTATGGACACTAACTGGTAATTAGGAATCATCATCATGACTCTCTTCACAGCTTTATTACTTATTAGGTCACTGATCTCTTCCATCACAGTCTGACTTTGGCTACGCTTTGAGCTTTACACAAAGTTACTGAAACTTATTTGTTCATAATAAATAAAGGAGTACGTCTCAGTGGAGCCTCTGATATGTAGTCTAAACATCGCAGTCAGCTTTAACTCACTGCTGTCGTAGGACTGGAGTCTGTCAGGGATTTCATGATTTATATGATCTTTATTTAAACTGATGGACGGATCTTTGTTTGTGCTATCAGAGGTGCTGCTGGCTTTTAACTTACATTTTATTTTACTTTGTTTTATTCATGTTTTTTTCTATCGAATTGCTAGCAGCCCTGCTCTAACTCAAAGCTGCCTTACACCCCACCCTACACACCTGGCTTCTAAAATCCACATAATATAGTCCCATCTCAGAGATAAACAAGCACATCACAGTGCAACAGCTAGAGTATTATTACTTCTGTATGGTGATGCATTTCTGACAATACTGACTTTATAAAAGTTATACTGTGTAAAATGTGATTAAAAATGACCTTAATATGTCATCCTAAAAACATCTAAACTATGCAGTTCTGGTTAAACTGGTGTAGCTTCTCCACCAAATGCTACAGTCCGGCCAGAGCCTCAGATATGCAAGACAAATTCAAGAATTCCTTCACAAATGGTGTTTCAGTCGCTGCAAGATAGTTATTTAACTGTATAATAACATAGGTGTTGAGCAGACTTGCTTTTATGTAGGATTACAACCAGAATAAAACCAGTTGAGTTGAGCCCACCATTGCAAAAAGAAAGGTGGCACTGGAGTTGAGCTCATCAGTCCAAACTGACTGAAATTGAATGCGATGTATTGTCAATCTGTCTGCATTTATAAAAATGACAGGTATTTTCAAAGCTTCACCAATTTGTAAGAGAGTTACTCGACTCAGTCGGAGTCGGCCAACGCTTGCTTGTAAACAGGTTGTCAAAGGTGCAATGGGCTTGCTGTTGAAAGCGTTCACTACAACTTCTTGTTTTTGCCAAACGAGAAGAAAATTCAGTGCATTCACCAGGCGACAACCAGCTTTTCGTAGTCACAAGGAGGTTGCTGGCTTATTTTTACTCTAGTGTGACTGAGACTTGATAAAACCAACTTATATAAGGTTTTCCATCAGGATGCTGAAAGTATTTATTTTTTTACTGCTTGACCAGCTTGATCAAGCTTGACAGAGCCATCTTAGAGAACCACCACCTCAGGTTATGAAAAGATGGCTGTCATACCGCTTTGAGCTGGATTTTGTAGAAGGATTAAGCTGCCGAGGAAGTTGCCGTAAATGTGCGTCGTGCAGAGGCGGATTTGGGTTCTCATGTATCAGATTAATCACTAAAACATACAGCCTTTCCTAAAATACCACCAAGTCGGCACTGTGGTAATGTGTTCAAACCCCACACGGACCACACAGGCTATTTTTGGAGTGCGTGCGCTTTAGAGTTGTTTTAGATTTCAGTCACTTCTCTGTCAGTGGCACCGCACATACTTTGTCTGTCGCTCTGAAAGACAATACTGGAATGTTTGGGTTTGAATCCCACTATGAGAACAGGGCAGACTATGTGCTTTATCTGTCAGTCTCCAGGCCTGTGGGTTTATGTGGGTATGTCTGTGTTTGTGCATGTGCGCACGCGTGCATGTGTGTTTGTGTAATAGTCTGCGGTGTCTATAAAGACTCTTAGTATTTGTGTTGCTGTAAAACGAGAAGGAGGCTGTGCCAGTCTCTGGTAACAAACACATGCACATTAAGACACATTTTGCAATCAGGTCTTTGGTTTTGTGAGTTTCAGACACACACTAACACACAGAGCTCTATGGTTTTCATTTGCTATGGATATCGATGTTTGAAGCCAAATTATGATGGAACACTGCTGCTCAATCATTTAGCGGTTACACACAAACACACATTCCTTTCCTTCTCCTCCCGCTGTTAGTTTTATCCTCTTCCCTGTTCCTTTGCTATTTCCAAAGCCTCATCTTAAGCATGTTTAATACATTTATATCCTATTTTTCCAGTGTGTCCTAGTTTGGTGCCACAGCATTATGCTAAACGCTGCTGCGATGAGGAGTAGAACTGCACAGTTAACATGAGCTCTCAAGTTTCTCTTTTCTCCTGTGCTTTGTGTTTCTTGCAGGCAAACATTAAACAAAAGTGTCACAGCGGACTTCATAAATCTGAACCTTCACTTGCAGGTTAAGTCACAAATTTTGGCATTTGCTGCCATCTGCTGGCAAAATATTTTGTCCAACACGCGTTACATGTCTTCATTTGAGTTTACAATTTGAAACTGATTCCAAGACATATTTATGAATGTAAAAGTGAGCTATGCAGGGTCTGTCTTCTGCTGATTAACAGGTAGTTCATGAGTACAAGGAGGCGTTCAGGGATTAGTTAGGATTGACAGGGACTTACATTAATGTTTGTAATTAATATTCACAATATCTCAAAATTGTTTTAATCATATTTGAGACCATTTCATATCTCAGATATGTTGTGTTTGTATATTTGTAGACCTGAGAGAACTTAGAGGAGCTATACAAGTGGATTTGGAGCTCAGCCCCTTTCTGTTCCCACCTTCGTCCCCTTTGCCTGCAAAGAAAGGTTTCAGGTTAGTATGCATTATTATTATTGACAGCTATGTAATTAATATTAAAATAGCTGCTTCACTTTCATTGCTTGTTTTTGTCTTCTCATTCCATTAAATATTTTGAATGTGAACACGATGACGCTTTTCCTATAACACCATCTCAAAAAATACCTTCAACTGCTTCTTTTTGTTGTCATTGTGAATGAAAATTCCCTTAATTCGTGAACTTCTGATTCCTTTTCCACAGTCTGACAGCAGCACAAAGCTCAGAGAGTCTGAAAACTTTATCTCCTCCATCAGTCCTAAGACCGCATCCACCTCCTCCTCTGTCCCCTCCTATACCCAGGCCTCCAGCTAGACCCCGTCTCTTTAAGATGTCAACATCCAGGACTCACGGTCAGCATAGAGTCACATCTGCTTTTAATAAGTCAAGCAAAACACCTACCTGCAGCACTGCTGACACATCTGGGCATACACACGGTCTCCTCACCACTGACCACATAATGAGAAATAATAACCAGTGTGGTTTTTGTCCAGAACAAGACAGTGCTGGTCTTTCCTGCAGGACCCCGGATTCTACGGCTAATTTTGAAGTAAAATCTGAGAGAAACTCACCCCTTCACAAAACCCATTTATCAGTAAACTGCAGGATTCACAGCCAAAGTCGAGAGTGTGAATGGTCACGGCAGAGGGAGAGAAAGAGCAGCCTTGCGTACAGGCCAAGACACATCAATATCACCCCGTCACCTGTTCCTGCTCCCAGCGGTCTCTGTAATGAAGGAAGTTGCAGCAGCAAAAGTACTGACCAATCTGTGGCAGCGAAATGGAATTCAGGTATTCAAAAGAGGCAGCAGGATAGTAGCTGTGAAGGCAGTTTAGAATCAGCGAGAGCACAGTCATATGCTGATAGCAGGAGGAAGATGTCTGAGAATTCAGTCATGTCTGAAACTTGGAGAACTCCTGCACAGACATGCAGAAGGAAGAGCAACGGTGAGACTTCTAGAAATTTAAGTGGAGCCTTCAGGAATGATGGCAAAGAGCAACAAAGCCTGGGTGGCCAGTGTGCAACACTTTGCCCATTTCATCCTTCAGCTGCATGCAGTCAGCGACCACCAGCAAAGATTAATGAACATTTTTTTACCTCTTCAAAAAAACCACCAGGGGGAAGCACAAGTCAGCCAAAAGAACCAGCAGAGCCCCAGTTTCTCCAGAGGTTTCATCAGCCAGTGCCTCCTACGAGAGTGCAAACTTAAAGACGACTACTACCTGAGGGTGGTAGTCATCTACCTTCTCTTTTTATTTTTTATTTCCAAGCTGGATGGATTGACAGTTGCAAAAAAATGTTTTACATGGTTTGTAAGGATTCAAAAAATAATAATAACAGAATACAGTATGGTGTCTTGAGCCACCTCTTATTTCTTCATATATATTTAGGTTTGAATGCCCTCTATATTTTCATTTTAAGGTACTTTGCTGGGTGTTTCGGCCATTATCACTAGACACCTTCATCCAAGCAGACCATGCCAGGGTTGATCAGGCCCCGGAGTGTGTCACTGGTTTATGTTAAAATTGTTATTTCTCTTCTTCTTTCTTCTGTTTAGTTTTCTTCAGGTTATTTTCTATCTATTCACTGCAACTGAGAAATAATACTTACTTCTTTAGCATTTATGGAGCCTCACATCTTCAAAGGGATAGAAAAGGTGATAGAGAGAAGTAAGACAAAAGGGACAAGATAGGAGAGAGCAGAGAGGAGAGCCGGAAGGGGGGTGCCGATCTGGCTGAGACAGCTGTATCAGTCAACTAGCAAAAGTTCTATTGTTATGTTTTACCATTTTGACGCCTCCTGTTGAGGCAGGGGGCTGACATCACTTAGCTGCCCAAGTGATGTCAGTCCTTTTTAGCCATAGCCAGTGACTAGTCCTCTCAGCAGCGTTAGCTAATTGTCTTATAGCCCGCCATTGTGCCTGTCTTCTGACCCCAATCTCTCTAAGCAGTTTTGCTGTTGTACTGGCAGCAAAGCCCCTGCACCCCACTTCCACCAGGGGCACCTTGATCGTCCAGCCTCTGTCTGCCTCAGCTGCCAAGTTGGCATACCGCAGCTTCTTACACTCAAATGCTTCCTCAATTGCTTCCTCCCATGATACCATCAGCTCAATGACGTACGCAAGTTTTGGGGAGTTAGACCAAAGGACGAGGTCTGGTCGCAGAGTAGTTGTTACAATCTCTGTGGGAAAAATTACCCTCTGATCCAACTCCACTTGCATCTGCCAAACCCTGTTCGACCTTCAGCGGGCCCAGGTCCGGGGTTCCTTAAGAATGGCTCCCAAAAACCCATTCTTAAGGAAGGAACGGCAAGGAAAATCTGCTATATGCCAATTTACACACGAACTGGACCAAAACTCAGTGGCAATAGATCTTATGGAGTGATGAATCCTGATTTGAAATTTTTGTTTCAAAACGTCAATAATTATAGAGCAGCTCAGGAAGTAGTCAGAACAGTCAAAAGCCATCTATAAAACATGGTGAAGACTTATCAGAAGACTACTTAGAGAACCAAAATAGGAAGGGCCTTTACTGGGCAAACACTGAGGTCAGTCATCTGGAACTTTTTGAAGAGGAGCCATGACTTTCATTTTTGGTTTCTTTCATTTTTGATTTGGTAAAGTAACTTTTATGCAACTAATATGCAAATGTGAACTTCTGAAAAAATTGTGGTGAGATTGTGGCTACTGTGCTGTTGCTTAGCAGGGTTGGGCTTAAAATTTGCCCCTTTTTTAAGGGGCATTTGTGTTATCTCATAGCCTTTGCCAGGACCTTTTTATTTTGTAATCTTAGAGAGGAAATTTAAATCCACCAATAAGAGCCATCAATTTCAGGTGAGTCATCAGTTAACCAGCAGTGACATGTAACTGCATTCTCTGACGTGCGTAACCAAAGCTTCATTATTTCTGTCGCACTGTTACTGTTCCTTTAAGGGACGTGTTTGGGCGTGTGTGCTGAGAGGGCGAGTGTTGACGGAGCTGGAAAGAAAAATCCGGCATTAGCTGTCCTGTTACACACCAATAAACCGCTGGTGAAAGAAGAACTTCTGGTGCTTGGGAGTCTACACAAACGTTACAACACATTTGTGTACAGAAAGTGTTCAGCATCGCAAGAATTTATTTTTTACCTGTCAGACAGGAGAAATACTGAGGTCAGTCATTTGAAACTTAAAGAGGAGCCACGACTTTCACTTTTAGTTTTGGTAATTGTAAAGTAACTTTGACATTATATTCTATGCAATTTTTGCAAAACTTGTGCTGGGATTGTGGTTACTGTACTGTTGCTTTGCCTGGTGCGGGGCTAGGGTTCAAATGTAACCTTTTATTTAAAAATACGCTAGGCTTACATTTTGTGTGTGTGTGTGTGTGTGTGTGTGTGTTTGTTTGTGTGTATTTTAGGAAGGAAATGCCTCCTTAATAGTTTAAATGTGAAATATTAAAATTCAAAACAAATATATTGCCTAATTTTTGCATGACAGAGGAAGATATTTCTCTGCCCTGCATGTGGAGAAGTCAGTTTCAGGTTTTATTAAAGCACATATTACTGTGCATTATGTGTCACCAGGCATGTTTTAAAGTAATCCACCTGTTTGACAAGTAAAGGTATCAGGAGTTGAGACATGTTCTTTTTATTACCCATCTTAAATCATAAAACTTAATTAAAACTTAAACTTAATTACCTTTTGATTGCAAACAAAGTGTGACAAGTCCCATCATATGATTTTATGTAATTAGTATATAGTAATGCTGTATTAGAAGAAGTAGTGTGCTACGATGTATAATACAGTTATTTAAAATTGTAATATTATTGTATTTAGTTTAACATGTATTAAGTACAATTCCATATTTAGCCGCATATAATTATTTATTTAGAGCTGGCTGCATATTTTAAACTTACCATTTGTTCTCATTCCCATTTGGGTGCTACACCTTTCCTTTGCTTCTACCATCAGCTGAGCTATAACATAATGCAAATGGTAACAGTCAGCAAGTCCACAAATTTAGCCATATAGATTCACTCGCTTTGACTTGGAATAAGTCGAATTTTGATACTTTCCCTGATTTGATCAAGTTGGATGAAATAACTATCATGTTTTCTAATCTGACATCAATTAACATGCCCAAAATCTTTTAATTGATTGGTGGATAATCCGTTAGCATGTTAAGGTAATTGGATTTATGTGTGCTGAAAACATACAGTCTTGTTTTTTTAAACATTTTACCATTTGAACATGCATCCTTCACGGTGGGGAATGCCGGTGTATTTATGAAACAAACCCAAAGGCAGACACGGGAGAAACGAGTCTCAGCTGACTGATGGTTTCCCCAATCTTATAAACAGTACATTTGCATAATGACTGGAACCAGCCCAC